GGTCCAAGGGACTCGCAGGAGTCCCTTGGACCACAAGGCAATCAAACCGGTCAGTCCTAGGGGAGATCAACCCTGACAGCTCTTTAGAAGGCCAGATACTGAAGATGAAATTCAAATACTTTGGCCACCTAATGAGAAGGAAGGACTCCCTGGAGAAGAGTCTAATGCTGGGAACAATAGATGGCAAAAGAAGAAGGGGACGGCAGAGGATGAGGGGGCTGGATGGAGTCACTGAGGCAGTTGGTGTGAGCTTAGGTAGACTCCAGGAGATGGTGGAGGAGTGTTGTCCCTGGGGCCGCGATGAGTTGGACACGACTTCGCGACTAACAACAAAAACTGAATGGACACTATTTTGCACTCTCTCAACATAAAAAAGCTTGGAGGGGAAATCCAAACTCTTCAAATATGCAAATACATATTATACCAAATATATTTTTATTATTCCATGATTTACCTACATTTCTAGCTTCAGACTCTGGAACTATCAGTATAAAACACAATATATAAGCCTCCACATTGATCACTGCAGATATTCCCCTCTGAATGTATCATATTCATAAAACTTCAGGTACCACATCACTATATCATAAACAGCTAACATTGATACTGGGAATTTCAGATCTTATACATTGGTCCTGCAGGTTGCAATTTTCCAGCTTTACTTCAGTTAGAGCCAGGCTCAAGATAATTAAAGCAAGCTATTTCACCATGCTATAAGAAGCAGTATGGCTGGGAAGAATTAAAGCAACAATGAATTAATTCTGCTCAGATCCCCTTTCCTGGTTTAACTATGCAAATGTATGTAAATTCATTCAAAAGTCCTCTAGGTTTTCCTCTTAACAAGTTCAGAAAAGTTATACATCTCACCAGTCCTTCGGTCTTGTTTTCTGCCTCTTCATGGGCATCACACGGAAACATTCAAGTGTGAGGTAGAATTCACAATCCTCCTGAAAACATAATTCAGTTTGTTGGGCCTGGACAACAACTCGGTGGGAGAAGAAGATCCCCCCAAGAACAAAACAACTAAGTGATTCCCACACTGGTGGCAATGGCACTCAAACTGTCACGGGGAAAAACAGTAGGACCTATGAAGGAATCCGTGTGTCCCATTCCTGACTTCTTTTAATTGTTGCCACATTATGCATATCCTTCCCCATAAGGAGGCCCTGAAGGGGCCAACATAAAAGCTAAGGAGCCTGCCACAAAAGGCTGTGGGGCAGAGGCTCTGTTCCACCTGCAATGTGAGCACTGAGGTAAAAATGGGGCCTAAGAAGGGCTAGTGCAGAATATTTTGCTGCCTGGGATATAGTAGTAAATGCCCCCCCTCACCAAATGGTCATGTCATTTTGGCAGAAAATAACATGCATACATTGCTCAATAGCTGAGGCTCCCCAAGGCAGAAATCCCACAAGTTCCTCTCCTACTCCCTAGCCATGAAAACTGTAAATAAGCAGTACTCTGTTGTCCTTTTATGCCCCAATTAACACTCTACCTAATTTGTAAGGCCAGTCCTCCAAGAACTCTCCCTCAGGAAAGGCAGAGATAATGGTGGTTGGAAGGGAGGCAACTCTGGATCCATTAATATTTCTTAACCTAAGCAGTGTTGTTGGGGGGAGGGGGGCAATGAGAGATTTACCAGCTCACGTTAATTGGGAGGGAAAACCTTCACATGCCTCCTCGCTCTTCCGGGCCCACACAGCTCTGGCTCAATGCAATGAACAGAGGCCCTGTCTTGAGAAGCAGAGGGCTTAGGGAGCTGTCTACTCTTCCCCTCATGGTGTGCTGTGGTACTGATCCAAAGCAGGGCTTCCTGAACCTACTCCATAGTAATTCTCATAATATGCAGTCTGACCCAAAGTTTCTGCTGAAGAACTTTCTGTATCTAGAACAGCCATCAAATTCAAGCCCCAAACACTACCTGTGATACTAGCACATCTCCTGAGCAGAACAAATAACACCATCTAAGTGCACAAATAGCACATGAGCCATCGCTTGGAAGCTGACTGAAGCCACCACAAATTCATGTGCTTCTAACCACTGCTTCTTCCTGGGGCTTCATGGGGCTAAAACTAGCCAAGGACTTCCATTCTCCCCATGCATCTGTATTACCACACATAAAATAAAGGCCATTTCTGTAAACAAACACAACCCAATTCAGCAAATTTTAAATTGATTGTGTTGTACAAGTCTTGCTGGTTAATCAATTACTCTTTTAAATTTTTATCCTTTATTTAAAGCCAGTATTTCTGAAGCAAGACATACTTTGTTTTCAGACAATACAGTAGTATGTTGTAGCAGGTATCCCCTTAGAAGAGACTTTCTTCTCAAGTGTAGCAAAACAGAAAATGGCTCTTCTGAAATGAAACTCATCATCTGCAATCTGTATAGCTTGTATTTTAAGTACCCCCCCACCAAAAAAAAAAACCCTGTCCCATTGATGAGCAGCGACATTTCTGACTTTTTTTTTCCTATAAAAAGTGATTAAGGATAGATGACTGGGCTAAATTTCTCTTGCACAAAAAAGTATGCTCCCTCTACCTCAGGCGCTTCCAGTTGATATATCATTGACCTGGTTCACATGACATAGTAAGTCATGCTCAGTTGTCATTGTGGATTATTTCAGACTGAATTCTTATGACATGACACCTCATCATGGGTAACTAGCCAGACCATTTGACTGCAGGGTGACTTATTTTTCACTAACAAGCCACCCTGACAATCCACAATGGGTTGCCATCTCGTTCAAATAGGACGGGAAGTTTTGCCATTTCTGCAAAGCAAGTCACTCTGCAAGAATAGCAAAACTCCCTGCCACTCTTTGTGATCTGGCTCAAGGCCAGGGCCCTCTGCACCCCAGGACTGGGACTGGTGAGGAGACCTGGGGACCAGTGGAGAAGAGGACTGCTGTGTGGCACTGCAGCAGTTCTCTCGGTCTCTCCTCATATGACTTATCCAGCAACCAACCACCATCCTTTTGGCCCTTCACTGCACCCATTCCAACCTTATTATCCCTCTTGTAATGAGGAGCCCAGAACTGAACACAATACTCGAGCTGTGGACGTCCCAGAGCCAAACAGAGTTGCAGTAACATCTCCCTCGAACTAGAAGCCATGCTTCTGGCTATGCAACCAAGGATGATGTTCACCCTCTTGACCGCCACATCACACGGCTGGCTCATGTTTAGCCTGCAATCAACCAGCACCCCGAGGTCCCTTTCACAAGTGCTGCTCTCCAGCCACTTGTTCCCTAACCTGTACTTATGACACCCATTCCTATGCCCCAAGTGTAAGACCTTGCACTTATCCTCATTGAATGCCATCCTGTTTTCCCCAGCCCACTTTCATAATCTGTGCAGATCCTTTTAGATCCAAAGTACCTGCTCCCCAGTTGTGGTCACCATCCCCATTTTAGTATCATCTGCGAATTTGATCAGCAAACGTGTCACCCCCCCCTTCCAGGTCATTGATGAAAAGACTGAACAGGATTGAACCCAGGACAGAGCCCTGGGGGACCCCACTCATCACTGGTCACCATCCTAGTGATTCCCCACTAATGGTTACCCTCTGCTTTCGGTCTGCCATGTCCTAATCCATTGGACAGTGAATCAGCCTATCCCAAAACTCCTCAACCAGGATATCATATGGCACTTTGTCAAAGGCCTTGCTAAAATCCACGTAAACCACATCTACAACATCCCCTCCTTCTAGCCACTTTGAAACCTTGTCATAGAATTTCACAAGGTTCATCTGGCAGGACCTGTTTTTGTGCAAGCCTTGTTGCATGGCCGCCAACCTCCCTTCCCTGTCTAGGGTTACTATATCTCTTGCTATTATGAGCCTTTCCATTGTCTTCCTCAGAATGGATGTAAGACTAACCAGCCTGTAATTCCCCATGTCTCCTCTGCTACCCTTACATGTCCAGTTGCTCCAGCTCTAGCACTGGGATTACCCTAGAATCACCCGATGAAGATGATGATATTGCCACCAGTGACGATGTCACAATGCCAACACCCATGCTTTGGAGGAGCCCTCACTGATTTGCCACCTTTTCCTCAACCTTAAAAAACTGCACAAATTTATTCATAAATTTTATTATCATTCAGTCAATTACAAGTGCAGTCTTTTCATTAAATTTTAAAATAAAACATTCAACTAAAAACACATAATTGAAATTATATTAAAACATAATAAAACGTGTTTCCCAGCACAAGGACCACTGGATTCATGCTAAGCCATTTACTCCTTCAAGAGGCTCCATCCCCTTTCCAAAATTGCAACGAACCTTGTGAAGGTTCAAAACCTTTCCCTTTTATTAATGCATACTCAATAAATGGTCCCCAAACACTGTCAAAATTATTCTTATTTATTACATAGCCTTTTTCATTTTAATATCACAACTTATCAGTAACAGCTATATTCCAAACTTCTCTATACCTTTCACTCAATTGATAATGTTTTACTTTCCGATTCTTTACTATAATTAATCTTGCAGCTGTTATAATTACTAATTCTTTAATATTCCATCTCCATTGTTCTCTATCAAATATCGACAATAGTGCAACTCCAGGATTTAATTCAATTATGTAAACTCAGTATTTTACTACTTTCTTTAAAAACCTCTTTCAAAACTTTCATTATATATTCACATTCCCAGCACATTTGAAAATATGAACCCACTCCCCAACCGCATCTCCAACATAAATTAGACTATTTACTATCTATTTTATTTGTTTATTTGGGATATTTCTAACTCAATTTGGGATATTATTCAATTTTACTGAGGTTAGGTCCCATTTCCATACTAGCTTCTAAAAATGTTCCCTTATTCTAACTGACAAACATTTTAATATTCTCTTATCCCACATATTTTCCATTCTTCATTACTAATATTTCTTTTTAAATCTCTTTCCCATGCTATTTTAAAAGGAACATGTTGATCCCGGTCTTCTAATAATGTTCTGTAAATTTTGCTTGCTATCCCTTTCATCTGCATTCTGTCTTGTTTTTCCTTCTCTGCTATTTTATCTTCAAATTTAGTATAATCATTGCATCCACCATTTTTCTTTAACCAATCTTTAGTCCAATGTTCTAATTGAATCACGTTAAATCAATGTATTTTCCCCTTCTAGATTGCCTTTATTTTTTCCTTATTATTCACTTTCTCTAACCAAGTTTAATAATTTGTTTAATTCTTCAATATTTTCTTCAATCTTTCTCTCAAATTTACTAGGAATGCTTCTAATTCTGTAATTGGATATAATGGCAAGATTGACTTATTCCAAATTTGTACCATATTCTTATGGAAAGGATTGTCTATCTTTATAATATTCTTATCACATTCACAGAGCCTCAGGACGGCTTACATAAATAAATAAAAATAATAATATAAAACATGATACTAATAAAATTCCAGATCCACCCTGGCTGCAGATTAAAACAAATAAAGCTAATATTAAAAGTTATTAAAATATTGTTGGAATAAAAAGGTCTTAGCCTGGTGCCGAAAAACAAATAACGACGGTGTCAGGCAGACCTCTCTGGGGAGCGCATTCCATAGGCGGGAATTTGCCAAGTTGCAATGAAAAGCATGCCTAAACAGGAAAAAATATGGAAGCAAAAGTGTACTGAGATTGGGGGGTGGGAGGCAAGGGGAATGACACACAATATTTACCCCCACCATGCAATCTTATCAATTTTAATTGTTGAACTGGCACTTCTCAATGTCCGCCAGCATTTCAACATTTCCCAGTGTTATCAGCTAGTCTAGAAAAGGGATTTATCAGTTCCTCCCTCTTTCCACAGCTCTTTTTTAGCCTGATTACTTAGAGGTACAGTCCTACAGTAGATATCAGAATCTTATAAAACCAAAACTACAAAAAAGTATTACAGGAGCAACAGAATGCATTTGCAGTCACACACCAAGAACATTTTGTGTCTTACCACTTTAGCTGCACCTTTGAAACACACTCTATAGTTCTGCAGGACTATGAACTGGCCAACAATGCTGGAAAACCCAGACTGTGGTAGAGAACTAAGAGAGAGACAAAGGGGAAAAATGCATGGGTAAAGCAGTCTTCAAACATACAGAGCTGGTGGTCAACAAAAAGATGTAGTATCTCAGGTAATCTGTCACAATGTCTGCAAGAGGCAAGATTAGTGTAGCATTCGAGAAGATTAACTTCTTCAGAATGCTGAGCATCTCAGCTTTCATTATCCCCCCCCCCAACAATAAAACCAGTATTACTGGTGATAGCAATTGTATGCTTGAGAATATATTCATTTTACTTTAAATAACATAGCTTGTGTTAGGGTTATCTGAGCATTGTTTAATTTCAAACAAACCCTACGACCTGGTTCACATGACCTGACAAGCCATGGAAAGTCATGCAAAAATTGCACTCATGGGCATGAACTGCAAGGCTACATTTCCCACAGGTAAATTAATCCACTGCAGGCTCTTATGCCATCTCAACTAGGTTACTGCAAGTGTGTAGTCGCTCTGAAAAAGTCAATTCCGTATCAGGGATCATTAAAAAAGGAATAAAATATAAAACTGCCTGGATCATAATACCTTTGCCCACATCCATGGCACAATGAAACCTGGAATACAGTGTAGAGTTTTGCAGTCATGCCTCAAAAAAGATATTGTAGAGCTGGGAAAGGTGCAGAAAAGAGTACGCCGAATAGGCAAGAGGCTGGAGCAACTCCTTTTTAAGAGTTGCAGCATTTGGCAATTTTTAGCTTATAAAGCCAGAAAATAAGGAAGGACATGGTAGAAGTTTATGAAATTATGCATGGCATGGAAAAGGTGAATAGGGAGCAGTTTTCACCCTCACACCACTGTAACTTAAGGTCATCCAATGAAACTCAATGGAAGGAGATTCAGGACTGATAAAAGAAGTACTTCTTCACACAGCATATAATTAAACAATGGAATGTACTACCACAAGTTGTGCTCATGGCAACTAACTTGAACAAGTTTAGAAAGGGATTAAATAGATTCGTGGAGAATAATTTTATCAATGGCTATTAGTTGTGATGACTACATGTTCCTTCTGGAGCAGGGGTGGCGAACCTATGGCACACGAGCCACAGCGGGCATGCAGAGCCCTCTCAGATGGCACGCGAGCCAAGTCACTCCAGCATTGCCCCAGCAGCCGAGCACTGGATTACAGCAAACATAGGGGCCATGCGCATGCTCAGAAAGGAGTGGTGGTGCCAGGCGATGATGTCACGAGCTGCAACTCATTAGCCGCAACTCATCCGAGCTTTCGCATGGCTGGTCAGTGCGCTGCCAAGGATATATATATATATATATATATATATATATATATATATTCGCTTGGACTGACTGTGAGTTGTTTTTTTAAACTAAAACCTCAGTAAACAGGCTTGATTGCAGTGTTGGCACTTTGAGATAAATGAGTTTTGGGTTGCAGTTTGGGCACTCGGTCTGTAAAAGGTTCGCCATCACTGTTCTAGAGCATCTCTGATTACTACTTATTGGGAAACACAAATGAGAGATGGTATTGCACATGGGCAACTGGCTGGTCTCTATAGGCACAGAATACCAAACTAAACAGGCATTAGTTCTTATATGGAGAGCAGAATACATCCCTCTTGATTCCTTTTCTTTTATTCAATGTTGTGGTGAGCCACAATTATGAAAACATTTTGAGGCATTTGTAAGGCAACCAATAGGCCAGAAAGAGCATCCTGCGGCAGCTTTAAATAGCCATCCTGTTAGATGACAGGTTCTTGAAGCACTCTTTTGCTGAGGACCTTGAAATAAACTTTTGCCACAAGTTTAATCAACTCCCTTAAGGAGTTATTCTTAGAAGAAAGATGGTTCTAGAAGCTCTTCCAAAGAGGACTATGAAAGATAGCTCTTCTACCTTATGGTCTTAGTAGATACATTTCTAAATATGAATATGTTAAGAACATCAAAATAGTATTTGCAGAAAAAGATGCTTTAGAACCTACCTACTCTCAGAAAAATGGCAACTTTGACCAGGCTGTTTCCACTATTTTATTTTATGTATTTTATTTATTTGATTAATTTTTTTCATTTTATATGAGATTTTAATGATTGTAAGCCGCCCCGAGGCTCATGGGATTGGGTGGCATATAAGTTGTCTAAATAAATAAATAAACTTTGAAAGTAAATGTACAGAAGTGTAATCCTGTAACCTAATACACTGTAAACATAATGCACCAATCAAAATGAATATGACCTGTATATGGGCTCACTCAGCCCATTGCTGGATTTTAAGTCAGAACCCCATTCCTTCTGCTTAAGGTAAGTGATAAGATCCAGTGGAAGATTCAAAGATAAGTCAGCAATAAATAAAACAAATTCAGCAAATAAATACTGTAACTTTTATACAACATCATCATCATTTTTTTAGATCAGGGATTTTCTTATTGAAAATACAGTTTACCCCTTTGTGCCTAGGCAATGTATAATTTCTGCAGTATTGTAGAAAAAACAAGAATGAAGTGGGCCTTGGGAACACCAATGTTTCTGGAATCATTACCATTGTCTACCCAAACACTAATTTCCCTCAATCAAACTGATGATTTTCTGGCAAGAATGCAGCCCTAGAACCTCTTACCTCCCCCAAGAACCCAAAGCAAAGTTTAAAACTTACAATTTTGTCATCTCAGCAGCTTTGGGTGTAACAAGCACTTGGATATAGTGACTTCCATCAGCAATGTACATTACAGCTGCTGGGCCATGCTTGTTGTGGTTTACAGCCCTTGCCTCATTCAAAACCTAGTAAAAATGAGGGGAAAGACCAGAAATAAGGTTAGGCATCCCCTACAAATAGAGGAAACAAAAACCAAACTAGTTCAGAGTATCCAATTCAAACTTCAGTACAGTGTTAAAATGCAAGCACAGGTGCTAATAGCACAGTGTAATATAATTAAGTCTGTGTAACACCTCCTGAACACCATCTTAAAACTGCTACAAATGCCAGACTTCAGGATATTTTTCGTAATGCTCAACTTCGTTGTTTGACTTATAATAGAGCTTGAATAATTTAAAAGTATGCTCATTCATTTTTAACATTTGAGGTGTCTTAATAAAGGCATAGCTATATTTTGCCATTTTTTGCCCCTATCAGGCCAAAAGAGCTGCCTACAATTTGTGTGCATTTGAAGAACCTTCAGTTTGGAGATGCTGTATGTTAACATTCCCCACCAGCTACCCTGGGCTTTGCTATACTTGTGATTTTCATTTCTACAGGAACATTTGAGATTTATCACTGCTTCTTGGTTTGAACGTTACAGTCAGACTCTGGACACACAGTTTCCCGTTTGAATGCACAATGCTATGATATTTAGACAGAAGTTCTACAGTTATCAGCCTAGCTAGGCTGCTGGGTCATGCTGGAAATTATAGGGTTTTCTAAGAAAAAAGAAAACAGATTGGATTTTAAGTCAAATTGAGGCAAAACAAGGGGGGGAACCAAACAAGTTTGACATGTACAGTGGTACCTCGGCTCACAAACGTCTCGGTTCACAACCAAATCAGGTCACAAACAGAAATTTCATAAAAATTTTGACTCAGGCCACGAACTCCGCATTGGGTGACAACTGCAATCGCGGCCATCTCCCCCCCCCCCCCAGGGGGGGGAGGGCCCCGATTTTGGGGGGGGGGGGGGGGGGGGGGGGGGGAGATGGCCGAGATTACGCCCGTCTCTCCTGCACAAGCACAACCGCAATCTCAGCCATCTCTACCCTGCAGGACAATCACGCCTGTCTTCCCCCTCGCAGCGCACCCGCTTTTGCGCTGTCTCTCCCCCCCACCCCCCGCACAGCACGCCGAGATGACGGGCGCAATCGCAGTCATGCTGGGGGGAAGGGGGCGCTTGTGCTCAGGGTAGGGGGGGAGATGGCTGCGATCTTTGCTGTTCTTTCTCACTTTGCTTCACATTTTTCTGATTAAAAAAATAGTTACTGAACGGATTAACCTTATTTACATTGAACCTTATGGGGAAATTTTACTTGGCTCATGACCAGTTTGGGCCTCAACCAGTCCTGGAACAGATTAAGTTTGTGAGCCAAAGTACCATTGTATATTGTCCCCTAATTAAAGAACTCTTATCTAATTAATCGTATCCATTTCAGATTAGTCAGGTAGGCAAGCAATTATATTTTATTTATTAGTATATGAGAAAATATAGTTCTAAAGAAATATTGGGTAGGATCCGACTGCACACAAATACTTGCAGTATTGACACTGCAGCACTGTAAGCTAACTTAGACCACTTAATTAGCGCTTGCTAGAACAATGGTAAAGAGTAGTAATTTCCCACCAGAGGACAGTATTTTAAAAATAAAGTCAAATGCTCCCACCTTTAAGACATGCCCAAGTTGACCATCTTCTCTGGTTTCAGTCTTGTCATATTCTAGCAGAAGGTTCACAATCCATGGCTCCAAGTAGGTGGGCTTATGCCTATTCGTCTGGCTGTCCTCGCTGTCTAAACTGGAAACAGTAAGCATTAATGGTAAGTCAGAAGACTGCAGAACAGCAATGCAGGGCAAGGTAATGAGGGACACTACACAGTCTGGCCATGTTCACATGTCACACTAAGCCATGGGAAGAAGCTACGATGGGCTGGCAGAAAGCTTGTCTAATACTCCCAGCTAGTGTGGATTTGATTTAAATTGATTTAAATCACAATTTAAATCACTAGTCAGTAAGACTGGTTTTGCAAGCGTGCTTGCCTTACTCGTAGGTATAGGAATTTCATTAAAATATTCCTAAGCAAGCTTCTTTTAAGGCTTGCTGCCATTATAGGTTTTCTCCTCCAGAGAAAAATATAAACCTCAGGCCATATACAAAAAGATCCAAAGACTTGCTTGGTAGTCTGCTCAAAAGGTTTCACTTTCATTTTCACTGCTTGACCTTCCCTTCTCACACTTAGCTTCTTGCACAGATCTATTCCACTCTCAACAATCTTCTTGTATTCATTGATTTTTTTTTAAACTTAGCACTTAAGAGGTAAGGGGTAGAGTCTGTGCACACAGATTTGCAAAAGACCAATGGGATTAAGGCCGGGGTCCTCAAACTTTTTGAACAGGGGGCCAGTTCACTGTCCCTCAAACTGTTGGGTGGCTGGACTATAGTTTGAAAAAATATGAACCAATTGCTATGCACACTGCACATTAAAAATTAATTAAAATTAAAATTAATTAAAAATTTAAAAAATAATTTTAAAATGTTTGCTCCGCTTGCTCGGGCTGCAGCAGAAGCCCAAGATGAGGTGGGGAAGAGCATGTCCATATTCAAGGGACATGGCTAAAATGTCCATGATCATGCTGGGGGGGGGGGAGACGGGCGCGATCGTGCTGGGGGAGGAAGACGGACGTGATCGCGCTTGCGCAGGGGAGATGGGCGTGATGGTAGCCATCTCCCCCCCCCCGCAGAGCATGACTGCAATCACGCCCGTCTTCCCTGCACAAGCGCAACCGCAGCCATCTCCCCTGCCCCCAAGCACGATTGCAACCATCTCCCCTGCAAGCACGACCGCGACAGCACCCGTCTTCCCTGCATGAGTGCGACCTCAATCACGGCCATCTCCCCACTGAGTACGCCAGAAAACGGTCTCCGAGCAAGTCCAAAAGCTCTGAGCCAGGTCGGATAAATAAGCACGGTGGGCTATATCCGGCCCACAGTTTGAGGACCCATGGATTAAGGTCTTTTGCTCAACTCTGTATGTAAAATATACATTTTTACTGTGAAGAGGCATGTGATCTCTGCAGACACAAATTCACAGTTTTGAGAACTGTAAAACCAAGCACCTGTGATAATGGCTTCTAAACAGAAAATCTGCCCAATAATTTTACAGAAACCTCTGGAAGGGCATGACATTGTGAATGCATTAATGGAATTCATTTAACAAAAAATTTAAACATTGCATAAGTATAGAGTCTCATGCTACATAATTAAGAACCCACCCTTATTCTATAATGAGTAACTTTTGGATTATATAACATATCCTAAATACAAAACTATCTTTAGGTAGATTTTTCCTCAAAAAGCATTTCATTTATTTTTATCCATCCTAAAACTAGCAATTTCTGACTCAACTCCATCTTTTCATATGTTACTATGATGGTCAGAAAGAAAAGAAACTTGCACTTAGAACCCCATGTGCACTTTGGAAGCTTTCCCTATGTCAGGGTACTGCACATCTGTTTTCCAAATAGGTCTTCATGTAAAACAAACATGCTATATTTCCTTGTTAGGAGACAATTATATACTAGCATAGTTTGTGCAAATTAAGTTCAAGCTTTGCATCAGTGAAGTCTACATCAAAAATTAGAATTAAGTTCTGCATTTCATGTGAATTTGTCAGGTATCTTATTTGCACAACTTACCGCACAAAGCACACACTGCTCATCTATTTTAAGTTTTCTTTTGTCACTAATCATGCAGGCAAGAAGACTAATTTACAGGTTTTTTAATACAAGGTGGATACTGTAACAGAGTTCAATTGAGAGCAATACAGGAATGGAAAATGCAACCACTAAGAAGGGAGTTTCACACAGCAGTATCACTCCTTTATTAACTGTGTGCTCTGCTGTTGTGAGTCCTTCCTTGCACTGTGGGAGCAAGCAAGTGAATTGCATTCAGCCAAACCTAAACAAAAAAAAAAAAAAATGGACCAACTTGGGGTAACTCGATCAAGTTGACTGAACAGCATCCTTATGTAAACTAGCGAGAAAACAGGGCTGGTTCCTGTAACAGTCCAGCTCATTTCACCTACTTATTTTTCCTGAGAGAGATAACTCTTCTCAAAATGTGAAAAAACGGGTCATCCTCAGAATGTACAATTTTGGATGCCACTCCAAAGCCTCCAGCATTCAATTCAGCAACCAGGTGCAAAAGCTGTTCGGATAGATGCAAATATGCAAATGCCACGATATATAAAGCAGGAGTCAAACTCAGACTAAAATCATCCGGAGTATATTGAAACTATCTTATTCCCTCTGGAAATATTTGACAAAGAGAAAATGATCAAGGATGAATGGGGCCAATTGGCTGACTTTGGACAAGTCACAGACTCAGCCCAACCTACCTTACGGGGTTCTTGTGAGGATAAGACTGAAAGCAGGAGTAGAAAAAGGTAAGCCCTCTGAGTTTAAGAAAAAAGGCAGGATATAAATCGAAAAAGTTAAATATACCTCACTTTTGCGAAAGACTATTTTATGCCCATCAGAGATGGCTGGCTAAGTCCTGCTACCTTAAACTTTCAAAATACATAGTCAAGAGTGGCAATCCCCTGCGCACACTCGCTTTTCAGTAAACTTATACAAGATTTCGCTTTAAGTACACCAAGTGGTCCAAAGTAATACAACATGATTACCCTCTGAAAAAAGACGAAGTAGCTTCAAAGCGAAAACCCACTTAAATGGGCAGTGGGTCCCCTGAAGCGGGAGGGATCCTAGCACACTTCCCACGCGCTGCAGGGTCATGCTTCAGTCAACGGACTCCTACAAAACGATCATCGGCCATGAGCAGCCGCGCCGGGGATCTGCAAACTCACCTCTCGGGCTGCAAGCCCCGCAGCGACCTCCGCTCCTGCAAGGGGTGCCATGATTGCTCCCGACTCATGGGATCGCTCAAGTCCCGCGCCGAGTCCAGCCAACTCCTGCTGGGAAGGAAGGAGCGAGGCCTGAGGCCGCGTCCTCCACTCCTGGCCGCTCCTCCCCGCGGCGGTTAAGCACAGCCTGATGGAAGCGGGGTCCGGCTAGGGCGGCAGCAAGCCAGGCTTTGCATTGCACTTCCTCGCAGGCGGGAAAAGAGGGCCGCCGTAGGGCAGGAAGAGGAAGCGGCGGCTCCGTTTGCTGAAGAAGAGCTTGGCTCAGTTAAGATGTCCAGTGCCTGCGCACGCGGGGAGACTTTCAGTGGCCCCTTAGGGTTGCAAGCTGTAATCCTGTACCCGCTCACACCCACGCGAAAATAAGCATGGCAGGGGTTACTTCTGTGTAAACATCTGGCCAGGAAGCTACGAAACCCCTGAAGGTGTGGTCCTATGCATGGTTTTTTGAAAGCCCTACAACTTCCCACCCACAAATAAATGACTAAGGAATGCTGGGAGTTGTAGGCTTTTTAAATATATGAACGTGCATAGACTTGCACCCTTTTGCAAAAGGCTAAGCTCTTTAGGCTGAAGAATTTTTCAGACGTTCTGCTGATAACGAAACATGCATCATGTTGCCACTGGTTACCTCTGATGACCAGGGTTCATGGGGCGAGAATAACCTAAAATTTCGGCTCACACTTGAAGGGCAATTTAGGAGCAAAAGAATGGACCTTTGCTACAACCTCGTTACTTTGTACTTCGCTGCTTCAAGCCCCAGGGAATACAAACAACGACTTTTGGGTTTCCCCGGGAATTTTTAAATTAAAATTGTAAACCGTTAGTTAGTTTGTTCGTTTGTTTATACAAAAAAGAGTCTTACAACTGCCAGCAGGTAAAAAGTTCATAGATTTATGCTCTTAGTGTCTCTTAGCTCTCTGGCTATTATTTCTCCTTTCTCAGTTTTAAAAGGATTTGTGGCAAAGTTTCTTGTTTTGTTTTAAGAGTGATTTCTGATTTTATTGTACTGATTTTTGTAGTTTTAATCTCTGTAGGTCATCCAAGAGAATTTCAGTTATGAGACAGGCCGTTTATACAAATGTAATCTGTTTAAAAATAAATAGCAAAAAACAACATTTATATAGTGGCATTTCAAGTGTGCAAAAATGTATCACATGCATTATCTGGTTATAATGCTTAGAACAGTGGTGGCAAACCTGTGGCACACATGCCACAGCAGGCACGCAGAGTCCTCTCTGTCGGCACGCGAGCCAAGTCGCCCCAGCATCACCCCAGCAGCCGAGCATTGGATAGCAGTGCACATAGGGGCCATGCGCATGCTCAGAAAGTAGTGGCGCCAGGCGATGGTGTCACAAGCCACAACTTATTAGCCGCGACTCGTCCAAGCTTTCACATGGCCGGTCAATGCACTGCCAATATTTGCTTGGACTGGCTGGGAGTTGCTTTTCCTAAACTAAAACCTCAGTATTCAGGTTTCATTGCAGTGTTGGCACTTTGCAATAAATAGGTGGGTTTTGGGTTGCGGTTTGGGCACTAGGTCTCTAAAAGGTTCGCCATCACGGGCTTAGAAAAAACTTGTAAGGTGGCCACCTTCACCATGGTACCCTCCAAGTGAGTGAGTACACCTCCTATGATTCTCAGGAACTGCGCCCACTGCCCGCTGGGCTGGGGATGATGGTGTGAGAAATGAAATGTTACTGTTACTAAGTGTTAAGGGTGAAAAACAGGAACAGGGCAGGATCATTGAAGTCTCCTAGGGCAAAAAAGCCTGAGAATCAAAACATGTAAATGGTTGTTCTAAGCGTAATAATGTTTCTTATATAAAAAGTTCCAAAAAATACCAGAAGGGGTAAAATTAGGGGACAGTGGTAAAACTGTCACCTTCAGTGGAGGAGAGCAGACAATGGATTACTTTACAACCCGCGATAACGAGCCTGGCGAAAGGCCTGTTCTCATGATCTCATCCTCCCCACAAGATTTAAGAAACATTTTGGCATCAAGTAAGAATTTTCAAGGCCACTTCGGCCTGTTGACCTCTTAGAAGGTACTGCGCATGCATAATAAGTTTATCAATAGTAAATGACACACCTCTCACAGATAATAGGCTCATTAGCATGAACATGGGATGTATGAGCGGGAGGGGGGAACATATAAGGAGTAGTATGATATAAGCAGATGGGGAAGATGGTGACTTCTTAGTAACCAGCCAATGGCGAAGTGTTGAGCATCGGGGAAAGGAATGTATAAAATCTCTTGTAAACAGTAAAAGATTGCTCTTTGTTTCTCAGACTACTGAGGCATTGAGCCAGCCTTCGCAAACGCTTTTTGTATGGAATAAACTGCTTGTACCTACTCAAATCCTGTCTCAAGGAGTTTTAAATCTCACAATGGAATCTGTAAGTGCCAAGTTGGGGGAAGTTGCTGTAAGTATTAATCTTGCCTGTGTTGGGGGAATTTGGGAAGTTCGAGTCTGAGAGAGAGCGGCTCAGCTATGGATGCCTCATGGCAGAGGTGAGATTTGAAGGCAGGCATTTACTGAGCATCAATCACCCTAAATTAAGTGCTAAATTTTACATTGGAGCATGAAAAAGAAGATAGGAAAGCATTCCTTACACAATATTGCCATCTGTTGGGTACTTCAGGATATACAGAGTGCTGGAAGTTGTACGACACTTTTTTTTTGTCTAAACACGTATAGGACTGTGCCCTTACATACTAGATCAGGCTACAGTCCAACTGATTGTGATGCACAGAAATCGAGCACAGTGCTATGCAGCTGCTCCATACAAGTGCAAGCAAACCAGGAATTAGGTATGTGCACAATGACTAGGGCCTTAGGCCACAAGCCATGCACACCCAGAAGTAAGGTATGTGTAGGCGCAGGGAGGGAGTCTACATTTGTGCAAGGCTGGTGAGCCATTCCTGCTCCATCCAACTGGCTTGTTTCTCTGACCTCAACGAGTGCGGCTATCCCCCCACCAAGAATCAACCTGCAGCCAGACAATCAGACCCTATTCACCACCAGATTGGTAAATCCCAGCTGACTGCTTGGGGCTTTAACAACCATTGCAGGAGTCCCTCAGCGTGGAATGATCTTCCCACTGAAGATGCCAGGGGCAGCTATTGCCATCTTTTCAGTGTCAGGTTAAGACTGTCCTCCACTTGCAGCCATTCAGACATTGTCAAAGCTCCTGCGCATATCGCTAAGAGGGTGTCTTCTTAATGCAACAGCGGGGCAATGCTAAGGGGGCAATATTTTAAAAGCCGGCGGTCCACCAGGAAAGGTCCACCAGCCGTCTGCATTAGAGAGCCCTGTGAGCTAATGTAGGCCTGCAAGCTGGAATTATTCACCCTTGCCTTAGGAGGTGGGCATGCTGACCGTGGGAAATGGTGAAGGAGAAGAAGAGAGCAAGGTGTTCTTGGCTCAGCCCCCCAGCCAGCCTGGTGCAATGACACCCTACTCACATTTGCCATCTCCCATAATACCCACAACTGCAGGGCTGAGATAGGCACACGTCTCAGACTCAGCTGCTCTCCTGTACGTCTCTACCGCAGAGCGTTCACAGGTGTTATCTACCTGCAAGCCAGTCTGAATGTACATGCCACACCACTAATACACACACAGTTGGCATTCCAACCTGCAGTATAGTCAATGATACAACAAGGAGCTACATACAAGGGATCTTCAAAAAGTTTCTGCACTTTTATATTTTATAAATACGTTTTATATATTTTTTTACTGATGGCATTAAAAAGTTGGTATGGCACTGGGGAAAATGCATCATAAGGGAAGGTAACTATGTAGAAAAGCAATGTGATTTTTAAAAAAAATTCTTAATAGAGTTTAAAAAATGCAGAAACTTTTTGAAGACCCCTCATGTTTTATGTATGAATCCATGGAGAAAACAGAAAGGTTGGGAAATTATTGGCCTTCATGCCTATTGGTACTGTTTATATTCCTTTCCCTTGATAATTATTTCTATTGTCAATTTGCTTCTCACAAGGAACATAGCGCGGGGCAAAATGCAGAGCAAAGTTATGGAAGATCCAGGCTGGATGACTTATTTGTTTCAATTATCTACGACAACTAAAATTACTGGTTGTAGTTTCTATTATTTCAGTGTTCTTTGATACACCCTCTCTATGCACAGAAACTGAATGTGTTGGGGAGAAGGCTAGGTGTGCTTTTTTCCATGCAGTTTTTAAATTATTATTTTGTATGGAGGAGCATTTGATCATACAAGCACTTACTGGGGTAGAAAAAGGTTGTTAGGTGGGAATATGATTGAGGGGTTACTGTGAAAAACAGTGTACTACTGAATACTACATTGAGGTGTCTTAGAAATTTTTCACCCACAGGCCTCTTGGACCATTTTGGATAAAGTGGCACAGAAACATAATCCATCATTGAGAATTCAGTCTGTTACTGGAGCAGCAACCCTACTGAACTGTCAAAAGGAGATGTGCATGCTGCTTGTTTGTCCACTGCCAAAGTTATATTAGTAGTGTACACTACAGTGCCAAGGCAGTGTGAAGTGATGAGCATAATTGGGTGTGACAGACCATGCATTGTATGCATGAGGTACAAGTTTATTAGCAGAAGCATTTGAAAAAAACAAGACTGTGGGGTCGGGTTTTAGGAAGTGCCAACTCATCTGGTGGAATTGCTTTCAGCATCCATCCCCTCCTATGTTTACTAGGAAACAGGACACTATCCTCCTTGAACATATTCGTTAAGAGAAACATTAAAGGTAAAGGTAAAGGTTTCCCCTTGTCATTAAGTCCAGTCATGCCTGACTCTCGGGGGCGGTGCTCATCTCCGTTTCCTGGCCGAGGGAGCCAGCGTTTGTCCGCAGACAGTCTCCGTGGTCATGTGGCCGGCATGACTTAACACCAAAGGGCAGCACTGTTACCTTCCCACCGAAGTGGCACCTTTTTATCTACTCGCATTTGCATGCTTTCGAACTGCAAGGTTGGCAGGAGCTGGGAAGGAGCAATGAACCAGATTGTGCAGATTCGAACCGGCGACCTTTCGATCAACCAGCCCAGCAGCACAGCAGTTTGAACCACTGTGCCACCTGCATCCCCTTACCACTCCCTAAAAGAGACAATAACTGATAGAGTTATGGTCATCATGATACTTTTATGATTGATTCCTGCACGTATCAAGGTGGTAGTTTCGAGCGGTTTCAGAAGGTTGTGATAACTTCTAAGAAGATGATCGTGATGATTCCCTTTTTACAGAGAAAGGGGACATGCAGGCCATAGCACAGTCCCACGCATGTCTACTGAGAAGAAAGCTCTGCCAAGTTCACTAGGTCTTACTTCTAGACAAAGTGTGATTTAGGATAGCAGCAATACAACACCTAAACTAGCCAGCACATTCAGTCTGCTGATGGACCACACTGAAGTCTCTCATCTCGTTAAGGATGTCCGTTGCAGGGAATGTGATTTTTGCCGTTTGAACCCTCTGACCAGAAGTGCAGCTAGGTCATTTTAAATCTTGAACATAATGGCCTTTTAGAGGTTTTCTTTGGATAACCAAATGTATGACTTCAGTTGTGAAGATTCTTTTCCCCACCCTGCTCCTACTTTCCTTGCTTTAAAACTGCTTCTAATTTCCTGATATGTTAACAAAGCTGTTTTTCAATCCTGGTTTTAAAAGCATGCACCGTTTCGTATTTTCAACTCACCTAAATCACAGTGCAAGCATAAGTATAGGAATAAAATTGAGTTTGTTTCTGATAGTTTCCTCACGTACCACTCTCTAGGTGGTTATGGGAAGACTGGGCTGCAGAGCTATGGACTTTGCCCCCAAGGTCCAGTCTGAAGTTGCAACACTGGTTCTGGCAACTTGCTTCTTAGCAATTAAATACCAGTCATCACAGTGTGGAAGAATAGAAAGCTGTGCTACAAAGCAATACATCACTAGTCAGATATGCTCAGCTCCCTTGCCTGGGTTTACCATTCACTGGCAAATGGTACTACCAGCATCTTGGGCTAGGTTTTGGCCTTTCAGACCCTAAATAGCCTGAAACCAGGATATCTCAAGACATACATTCAAAGAGGAGTTTTGTTCCTCTTCTGAGGGTCTGGCTTTGGATCTCTCACACACAACCTTAATATGGAGAGCACAAGATGCTA